AGCTAGCTTCGGGGGTTGGGTCAACAACGCGCCCCCCCCCCCCCGCAGCATGATTGTTGTTCATTCGTAGGGTGTGTGTGTGCGCGCCGTTGTTCGGAACGGTACGGGGCCAGATAAGTCGATGCGGCCCTTTAGTGTCGTACGATGCTTGTAGAATGAACCGCCTGCCAACCTGCCTGTGTTAAAATGGATACCCTGCTTGCAAAATGCTCGACTTTGCCCAGTCTATGAGATAATAATATGCGCTAAACGACTTGGAGGCAACCTTCAGCTGGTCAGCTTGACGTGGGAGGGTTTGGGATAGAAACCTCAAAGGGATTGAGATTGACCACGAGGGGATTGAGATTGCCCTATGAGGGGATTGAGATTGCCTCACGGGGGGATTGAGATAGACCAACAGGGGATTGAGATTGACACAACAGGGGATTGAGATTGACACAACAGGGGATTGAGATTGACACAACAGGGGATTGAGATTGACACAACAGGGGATTGAGATTGAGACCCCTTGGATTGAGTTTACACTTTCAGATTGAGACCAAGGGGTGGTTAGGATTGAGGCCAGTTGCCTACCCTCCTCTTAATTAAGCTTCTCACATCGTTTCCCCCTTTTCACCCCAAAGGACTGTAAATCGCGATCACACGGACATTCCCGGCAATGGAACCAAGGGGGGCTTCAGGAACGAACGCTTAAATAAATTGGTATCATTACAATCAGGTAGAAGATCGAATCCAGTGTGCAGATACCGGCATATGAATCATCGCTTATCATCAGACATTCATCTCATATCATCTCGCAGCTCATATTATGATGGACAGAGAGCAAACAAAACTGGCCCACCTGCTACATCTCTAACAATTAGGCGGTCGTAGTTGACTAGTGTCCCCGTTTCCCGTGCGTATATTGCTAGGGTACTACAACGTACTACTAGAACTTTTTGCGATATGTTATGACTTTTACCAAGCTTGTGGCTCTAAGGACGCTCTTGGGCCCCTACCTACCCACCCACCCACCCAGGTGGCACGTATGGGTAGGGTATCCCCTAGGTTTAGAAAGAAAAGTCTTCTCATCTCAATCTATTGAGATCTCATTAGATCTCAATAGAATGGGTTAGATTCTAATCTCAAGTTTTGGCAGCTTTCTGGGAAATGCATGACTGGCTCTGAAACTTTGTAGGATGATTCTGTATGGTACATTTGTTATAATAATTAAGTTTTGGGACGTTGCGAAGCACAATTGCACGACAGAAACAAGCCATTATACTCCGCCGCAGTATTGACCCATGGGTCAAAGCATGCGAGGGCGCACTGGACGGTCGAGTACACGTCACAGGCGCTTATCCCTTTGATGCTTCTTTAACTCCATATCCTAAGGGTTAAGGTTTCAACGAATCAGGGCCCAGATCATCATTCCTAAGCCCTGGCAATGCACAAAAGCCGACATGGTATGCCATCAAGATCCCATGCTGGCCAAGTTCAGCAGACATAGACTGCTACCAATGCCGACCGAACAACTTAAATCCCTAGCTACTTCACTCCTCCTCATCCCCGGCCAGCAGCTGCATCACCACCTCCTCATCCGACAGGGCGTTGCGCTTGGCCGCGTAGCTGTCGTTCTGGCGGATGAAGATGAGCTTCATCGCACGCATCTGCCCCAGGCGGTTGCGGGCCTTGTGGAACAGGTTGCCCCACAGCGACCAGTTGCGCTCTGATGCGCAGGTGGTTGCGTGCATGCGTAGGACGCGGTTGGCCACGAAGGCCAGGGCCGGATACGAATCCGCCATATGCACCGTCCAAAACTTCAGGCGCAACGGCAGCCCGGCCAGCTCAACCTTCTTCACCTTCGACTTGCCAACCGTCTGCTCGACCTCCTTGCGTGCAGTCAGCGTTGGCATGAAATCGAATACTTCTTGGCATACGTGTACTCTCTCGGTTTGTTATCTTCGGACTCCTGGCTCTGCCCCTGGTTTGGGGCAGTGCTAGTGTCTGCCATTTTCGGTATTCAATTTTGTTCTGAGTGTCTAGTAAGGAAAAATATGGCTTCTAAAGATTTATAAAGAATTATAGTGCCGTACATTAGATAACGACCCAACCGTCTCCTCAAGTGCCAAAAAAGACCTTCTAAATTCTCATTGAGAATCTNC